GGAGATGTTTGTCTGCTCTTCTCGAAGTCTCCTCAGATGAGCTTGCACGCATCCGGGCGGGATGGTCTCTCGATCCCTGTGGCTGCTGTACCCACACACCTTTTGTCCCTGCACGGGAGCCGTGGCGGTCTCTCCTCTGCCCAGGCCACTGCAAGTGGATCAGCCACTGAATGAGGCAGGGACAGGACTGCCTGTCACTCGCAGCTGTTGGCTGAGGTCTCCGAGAGCAACGGAGACAAGCCCAGGGGTGCGGAGTGGGTGTGTGGCTGGAGGGACTGGCCTGCTGAGTAACTGGGAAGCACCTCGACCTCAGCCCAGCACATGACTCGCATGGACCAGATCAGCTGGAGACTGGGAGTGAAGCCTCCCGGGCACCAAGAGGGACAGACTAGGGGAGCCCAATGCAGGAAAGGGGGGGGGGAGTTTGGGAGTCAGGGACGAGTGACGGCATCCTGGCCTTCCCACTCAGGAGGCATTGGCTCCTGGACAAGCTCCTCGAGCTCTCGGACTCTGGTCTTCACCACTACAGTAGGAATTCTGGTGCCTTCCTCCCAGTGATGACAAAGTGAACAGACGCGACAGCTGAATGCCACAGACGAATTTGACTGCATCCTGCTTTGAAAAAAATTGGGGACATTGAAGTAGGATCTCTTTGGTATCGTCTAGTATGGACTAACTGTTCATTTGCTGGTTTGAGAATGGTATTATACTTATTTAGGACAACCTGAACTCTTAGGAAACATGCACCACAGTGTTTGAGGATGTGTTTCTTTTCTTTTTTTTTTTTTTTTAAAGATTTTATTTATTTATTTGACAGAGAGAGATCACAAGTAGACGGAGAGGCAGGCAGGCAGAGAGAGAGAGAGAGAGAGAGAGAAGCAGGCTCCCTGCCGAGCAGAGAGCCTGATGTGGGACTCGAGCCCAGGACCCCGAGATCATGACCTGAGCCGAAGGCAGCGGCTTAACCCACTGAGCCACCCAGGCGCCCTTGAGGTCTGCAGCGCACTGAAATAGCAACCAAAAGTGTGTGTGTGTGGAGACGAAGAGCAAATACGGTGCAGTGCTAACTGCTGAAGCCAGGAGGAAAGGGTGCACGTGTTCATAGTTTATTCTTAACGTTTCTTCCTAATGTTTAAAATGTATCGAAGGGGTGCCTGGGTGGCTCAGTGGGTTAAAGCCTATGCCTTCAGCCCAGGTCATGATCACAGGATCCTGGGATCGAGCCCCACATCGCATTGGGCTCTCTGCTCAGCGGGGAGCCTGCTTCCACCTCAGCCCCGCCTGCCTCTCTGCCTGCTTGTGATCTCTGTCCAATAAGTAAAATCTTTTTTAAAAATTAAAAAAAAATAAAATGCATCGAAAATAGGGGAGAAAAAGAATAGATGAGAAGATACGCCAAGCCCCCTACACAATGCCCATGCCCCAGTCCTTATCTAAGCCACTGAGGGTGACGTCAGCCAAGAACCAGAGACGAACACGCCAGATACTGTTCTGAGGAAACAGCGATGATTTCTAGAAGGCCAGAGACAAACATTAAACAACAAAACAATTACGTGAACTTGGTAACCAAAGCTAGTGCTCATGTGCTACGAAGACAGTCCCCAGGTGAAGGACAGGGGACCCGAGGGGGTGGGAGTGCGTCCGAGCCTCTGAGCAGGTGGAATGTGAGCTGAGCATGGACTGTGCCAGAGGGTCGGCTGTGCAGAAACTACCCCTCCTCTACTCCTCTGTGTGGCCAGGAGCCCTGGAAAGGCTCAGGATGCCAGAGGGGACATCAGCCAAGAGCCTGGGGGGCGGCGCGGGGTGGGGGTGTTTGCTTCCTCCCTGGGAGAAACCAGCCATGCTCTGGTTTATGCTTTCGTAACTCTTGGGTCTGTTGAGACAAGTCAGATACCATCACTCTCCCTGGACCAGTGAACTCCATGGCGTGGGGGCAGGAAGGCGGGACAAGGGTGCCTGCTGAGCCACTTTCTGGAAGCAGCCCGGGATCTGGAACGGGCCCCAGAGACAGCCCTTTCCACAGCCCCCGAGACTGGTGAAACACTGCCCAGTAACATGGGCCACAAGTGGAGCTTCATTCATAACTAAAGAAATGGAGTAGAAATGTATTTTCACCCATCAGATTGGTAAAGACATCCGGTACTGGGGTGCTGTGGGGAACGGCCCCTCACCCATGGTTACTTCAGCTTCTCGTGGAGAATTTGGGGCGTTTTGACACTGTCCATCAAATGTGAAATCGTGACCACGCTTTGGCTCAGCATTTCCATTTTGATGAAGCTATTCTAGAGATGTCATCAGTTGAGTTTTTAAAAATAAGGCACAAGGATGGCACTGAATTATAACTGGTTTTTGCAGAAACGGGACTGCCTATCCGAGTGCTGGCCAGCAGGAAACTGCTTAAATAAATGATGTATGGGTATGGGTATAATATGAGTAAAGTCTTAGAAATAAAATTTATGTACCCATAATAACAATATAAATAATATAGACATAGAAGAAAGTCCAGAAGACTCTATATTGAAATGTTAACAACGGAGATGTCTGGGGCACGAAATCACTTTCTACAGCATGTGTTCCTGTAATATTTAAATTTTGTTTCAGAAGCACGTATGGCTGTTATAAGCAGAAAAAAATATAAGGATTTAAAGTGGGAGACAAGGATGGAAGGAAAAATGACAGCAGCTAGTGGTTCATCTCTGGGGGCAGCTGGGAGATAAACCTTGAAACAGCTGGAGAATTCACCTGCCTTAGTGTCTCCCACCACACGAGTTGTCAGTGGCCTTCTGACCACAGAGCCACCGTGGCTCGCCATGGAAGGCACAATGGAGATGGCTACAGAGCCCAGCTCTCACCCAAAGGGAGCCCAGCTCTCCCCGCAAAGGCAGCCGGTGGTAGAATTTGGGTTTTTGCCACTTGCAGTCAGAGTGGTAAATGATATCCTAATTTGAGGTAAAAAAGGGAGGGAGGGGAGAGATTCTGTGGGGTCTCATGAAGTCCACACACATGAACAAGCAGGCTTCAGGAAGGGCTGAGACCAGGGAAACACCAGGGACCTGAAGAGGGGTTTGTGGGTCTTCTCTCCAGGGAGCCTCCCTGTTGGAGTTGTGACACCTCCCCGCCCTCAGTCTCTCAGATCAAGTGCCAAATGCCTTCGAGGGACAATCGGATTGGCCCAGCTGTTATCAGCCACGGTGGGGGAAGGGATCCAGAGGGGGGACACAGAGACCACCTGCATCCGTCCAGAGAGCCGTTGCCGGGGCGGGCAGCCATTTGGCTGGGTGACTTGTTTGCTGTGGCAGCCTGAGGTGACAGGGTAACACCCTGGGCCGCTTAAATGGCAGAAATGTATTATCTCCCAGCTCTGGGGGCAGGAAGTCTAAGGTTAAGGCGCCAGCAGGGTTGGTTCCTTCTGAGGTCTGTGGGAAGAGAATCTGCCCTGGGCCTGTCTGCTATCTTTGGTGGTTTGCCAGCAATCCTTGGCCTTCCCTGGCCAGTAGACACATCACCCTGATCTCTACCTTCATGTTCACACAGTGTTCTCCCTGTGTGTGTGTTTGTGTCCAAATATCTCCTTTTTATAAGGACACCAGTCATGTTGGATTAGGAACCCGCCTACTCTGGGATGACATCATCACAGTCCCCGCCCTAATTCCAAAGAAGGTCACTTTCTGAGGCTTGGGGGATTAAGACTTGGACATATGAATTCAGGGCAGGACAGGGTGGAGAGACGAAATTCACCCCACAGCCTGTTACGTACCGTCCAGGTCCAGAGAAAGATCTGGGCTGGAGGGACGGCTGCAGGGTCTGTGACCTAATGGGGAGTGAGAAGCCTTTGGGAGCAGATGGCAAACCAGCAGAGTGCACATGAGGAGAGCCACAGATGCGTGGCTTCCGTGAGATAAAGCAAGCACTGAAGACATGTGCGGGATTTGAGGGTGTGTGGTGTCCTTGGCGGGGCAAATGTCGGCAGACTAGCCAAGGTGAGAAACACTGCGGTGGTGTAAGGAGGCCTTAGGATGTGATGGAGTGGAGAAAGTGCGCAAGTAGGTCAGACGTATAAGGAAGAAACCAGTGTCCGCTGGAGGAGGAGATGCCAACGAGGCATTTACCACCTGCTCCTGTTTGCTGATGGTGGGAAAGAACCCGTTGTGTGCCCACGGGCTAGGGACCCTGCTCATTAAGTGTCTGTGAAATCAAAGTGTGACCGCACACAAAGGGGACAGAATCCAGAAAGCAGGTTGGAGGGACTGGCCAGCGCCACATTTTGAGTCCACTGCAGCTTCTGCTTCCCCTTCTTGCTGCCAGTGCTGGCTGCACTTTCGGCCCTGGTTGATGCCTGTGCCAACCCCGGTTCAAATTTGAGATTTGAATTCAGATCACTAGCCAGGTTTGGGAACCCTGCATTGCACCACACCGGCTGACTGGGGCCAGGCTCCTCTCCCTGTGAAAACGTGCAGGCATGCTTATTCATCCCTCACTTTTTAATGAGTTAGGGTACTAAGTCGTCCCTCCTGAGCGGCTGTCCCTGGGACTTCTGCTATAGGGAAGTCTCTTAGGTGTGGTGTCCCTTCCCCCACTACACTGTCAGGACAACCAGCTCTGCTACTTTTCCCCAGGCCACAGAATTTCTTTTGGCCCCGCTGTTTTGTTTTGTTTTTTCCTGAGGTCGCAGCATCTCATAGACTTGGCCAACCGCTCTCAGCCCAAACTGTAATCTTCAAAATCAGAGCAATGGCAGAGGGCCGTGGAACTGGGGACAAAGAAGAGGAAGGAGTCAGGTAGGACTCTGGGTTCTCCCTTCAGCCTCTGCTTCCAGCTCTTTCTCGGTAACCCCGCGGGCCGGCCCTCCGCTCCTTTCTCCCGCAGCCCTGCGGAGCGGCCAACAGAATCCCAGCCACCGCCAATCCCAGCGGGGTCCTTCGGGTGGGCGGGGCAGAGGGGCGTGGCCTGAAAACCAGGGACCAGGCTGGACCAATCCCCAGCCAGTTGGTGAAGCCGACTCCATACCTGGGCCCAGGTGCGCTCCCTCTGCGTCTCTCGGTCGCTCTGCTCACCGGATGGAGCGGGCCCAAGCAGGGTCCGGAGGAGACCAACCCGGAGCCGAGTTCCCAATGGAGCCCTTGGGGAGCCAGGTCGCGGCGCCGGAGCAGCCGCAGGTCCCCGCAGAGGAGCGACAGCTCGAGAGTCCCGAGAGCAGTCCGAGTCTGGCCCGCGCCGCAAAGGAGGCGGCGGGCGCGGGCCAGGACCCCTCCGGCGGGAAGAAGCTGCCCCCGCCTCGCCCGGCGCTCCTGCGGCTCCCGCCCCCCAGCCTGGGCTACGGCGCCTTCCGCCGCCAGGTGTCCGCGGGCTCGGAGCCGCCGTCGCCCGGCCCCGCCTCAGCCGAGCAGTCCCAGGCCGGCGAGGTGCCGGGGGAGCCGCCGCAGGGCGCCTGGGCCCCGGTGGAGCTGCAGGTGGACGTGCGCGTGAAGTCCGTGGGCGTGGCGGGCGGCAGCCGCGCGCCCTCGCCGGCGCCGTCCCCGCGCTTCCTCACCGTGCCGGTGCCCGAGTCCCCGGCCTTCTCCCGCCACGCCTTCCCCGCGCACCCCCTGCTGCCGCGGACCCCCGCCCGGCCCGAGCGCGGCCTCGACGCCGAGGGCCGGGCGAGCCCCGCAGACGGGCGCTCGGAGCTCCCGGGCTCCCCCACGTGCCGCGGCCGCTGCCGGGAGCTGGGGCTGGAGAAGGAGGAGGCCGGCGCGCTGCTGCACCGCGCGGAGACGGGCGGCGACGAGAAGCTGCCCCGGGCCATACAGCTCGTAGGTAAGCCCGCGCGGCCGGGAGGGGGCGACGCCGCCTGAGCGCCCCCCACAGCCGCCCCGCGCCGGGACCACTGCGGCCGCTGCCCCGGCCCCACGTGGCCTGTCCGGCCTGGGATCCGTAACATTCGGGGCCTTGGTAATTGTACCGCGTTCGTCTGTGCCGAGAGAATAAAACCTCTATTTCCGCCACCACTCCGCCTCCCCAGCGCGAAAACTTCCACATTTCCCTCTTCGTGCGCGCGGCGTGGCTGAGAAGTAGAGGTGGGAGGGCTTCCAGGAGAGGGAGGGCTTCCAGGATCACCTGACGGCGCTGGCGGCTCGGGCGGGAACCGGGAACCGGGTCTCCCGACCCGGACTCCCCTTCTCTCTCCGCCTCTGTTGAGGAGCATTGGGCCCCGAACACTCCCCCATTCATCAGCTACTGCGGGGGGACTGGGGACCAGACTGCTGGAGGCGGTGTATGGCGGAGAGGGGCCCGTCTTGGGGGCGGGGTGCTCGTCACGGGACAAGAAGGAGCCTGGAGAGGCGCCTGGGTGGCTCAGTCGGTTATGCCTCTGACTCTCGATTTCAGCTCACGTCGTGATCTCAGGGTGGTGAGATGGAGCCCTTCCCAACTCTGTGCTGGGCGTGGAGCCTGCTTAGGATTCATTCTCCCTTTCCCTCTGCCCTCCCTCTCCTCACTCTCTTAAAAAATAATAATAATAATAAAGGAGCATAAACAATCCTGGACCAGGAGCCAAGAGGGAGTGGTTGGTGAGCGTGGGGGCATGGGAAAGCTTCTTGGAATAAGCATTGAAAAGTGAGTAGGGGGGCCCCTGGGTGGCTCAGTGGGTTAAAGCCTCTGCTTTCGGCTCAGGTCATGATCCCAGAGTCCGGGATCGAGCCCTGCATCGGGCTCTCTGTTCAGCAAGGAGCCTGCTTTCCTTCCTCTCTCTCTCTGCCTGCCTCTCTGCCTACCTGTGATCTCTGTCAAATAAATTAAAAAAAAAAAAAAATTAAAAAAAAAAAGTGAGTAGGATTCAGGGGTGACAAAGGCCCCTTCCAACTGGAAAGCTCAGGAGGCAGTGTGCCAAGAGTTTGGCCAGGTTAGAGGAAGGCCAGGCCAGCCAGACAGGCCCCAAAGCCTCAGGGGATCTGCCACATCTTAGTCTCGGGGAGAGTTCAGGGACACAAATCACTCGGGATTTTGCAGTTTGGTGTGAGCACATTTTCTAAATGATGGTATATTGTCTTTTTTTTTTTTTTTTTTTTTCCCCTTAAAACGGGGCAGGGCAGAGGGAGAGGAAGAGAGGGAATCCCAAGCAGGCTCCAGGCACAGTGTGGAGCCCCACATGGGGCCCATCTGACAACCTTGAGATCATGACCGGAGCCAAAATCAAGGGTCGGCTGCTTAATCCACTGAGCCACCCAGGATCCCCAAAGATGTATTTCCTATCGCTGCCCTAACAAATTGCCTCGAACTTAGTGGTTTGAAACAACACAAATTTATTATCTTACAGTTCTGTGGGTCGGAAGTCTGATGGGCTAAAGCTGAGCTGTCAGCAGCCTTGTGTTCCTTCCTGGGGGCTCAAGGGGGGATTCTGTTTCCTTGCCTTTTGGAGCTAGAAGAGGCTGCATTCCTTAGTTCAGGCCCCTCAGAATATTCCAAGCCAGCAACCAATGTTGGACTGATTCCTTCTGCTGCCCTCTCTGACTTTCCTCTTCTTCTGCCTCCTTCTTGTTTATACAGACCCTTGTGTTTACATTGGGCCTACCCAGAAAACCCGGGAAAATCTCTTCATCTTAAAGTCAGCTAATAAGCAGCCTTAATTCCAACCAAAACCTGAAGTGCCCTTTGCCATGTAACCTAATTTACTCACAGGTTCCAGGGATTAAGTCATGCGCATCTTTGGGGCAAGGACGGAATGTTATTCTCTCCACCACAATGAGTTTACAGCTTTTTGTCAGGGTAATTAAAGAGTCTAGGACTAAAAAAAAGTACAAGTACAGGTCAGCCTGGGCTGGAGCCAGGGGTTTCTGGGCAGGGAGGACTCTGGAGCTGAGAGTGAAAACAGAGGCTGGGGGAGGAGGTGTCTTTTTTTTTAAGATTTTATTCATTTATTTGACAGAGAGAGATCACAGGTAGGCAGAGAGGCAGGCAGAAGAGAGAGGGGGAAGCAGGCTCCCCACCGAGCAGAGAACCCGATGCAGGGATCGATCCCAGGACCCTGAGATCACAACCTGACCCAAAGGCAGAGGCTCAACCCACTGAGCCACCCAGGCACCCCAGGAGGTGTCTTTTGGAGAAGGTGGGTGGTCTCGGAAGTCCAGAGGTAGTTCGAATTTTGGTGGGATGGGCAGGAAGAACATACTTGGTGCTGAGGGCCTGGAGGACATGGGACCCGGAAGGGTGATGACCAGCACGGTCAGGCCGAGCTGGAGGAGCAAGGGCGTTTGTAACAGCTTTACCTGAAGCAGTGACACAAAAGGGACACTCATGGGCACGAGCCCTCTGAGTCAGTCCTATTCTGAGCTTTGTATTTGGAAGTTTTCTTTTTTCGTTCTCTTCTTTTTTTTATTTTCTGTTCTTTTTCTTTTTAAGATTTCCCCCTCAAATTGAATAATCTTTAAGCCCCACAAAACCTGGTTCCAGCCCAGGCCACTGGATCTAACTAGGAGGAAGCAGACAGTGCATCAGCTGCGGGTAGGAAATGTGGCAGATGAAGGGAGACTCGCAGTTCAAGAGTGAACAGAGGATGTGACATCAGAGATGTCATTCCAAGATGGGGGAAGGGAAATTGGGTGGAAGCTAGAGAGTGGAGCTGAGGGGAAGGTGCTGGAGAGAAAGGGAGTGTGTGTTATTATTGCCACGTGGGACTGGGTGTGTTTGCAGACACAAGAGGATTTGGTTTAAGGGGGTCCAGAATTGGAAGACGGGTATAGAGGGGCTTTAGCTTTACGTGTGTTTTCATTTTTTTGTAAGGAGAATGTTTTGGGGTTACCTGTGCAATTAGGAATTGCTTTGGAGGGGCACCTGGGTGGCTGAGTCGGTTAAGTGTCTGCCTTCAGCTCAGGTCATGATCCCAGGGTCCTGGGATCGAGCCCCGCGCGGGGCTCCCTGCTCAGTGGGGAGTCGGCTTCTCCCTCTCTGCCTCTCCACCACTCGTTCTGACTCGCTATCTCTCTAGCTATCTCTCTCTCCAATAAATAAAATCTTAAAAAAAAAGGAATTGCCTTGGGAAGGGGGTAGGCGGGACTTCCTCTGTCTGGAAGTTTGGGAGGACTCTGGCTCTGTGGGGGGCCAATCCCAAGGTCAGCCATGCAGCCCTGAGCAGAAGGTGGGTGGGACTGTGTAACCTGCTCTATTTCTTTTACACATTCTTTTCTGAAAGGCCTAAGCGTGCAGTCACGGTTGTTGCATTGACTGAGGGGACTGGTAGGTTTGTGTTCCTTTTCTTCCCCAGGCTTTTTAGTTCTGCTTTTATTTTAAGACTCTCAATTTATATGTATCTTTGATTCCAAGCATATTCAAGTCACTTTTTTTTTGGTAACAGCTTTATCAAGTTATAATTCATGTAACCGCACAGCCCACTCACTTCAAGCGTGTGGTCCGGTGGTCTTCACATTCCCAGATGTGCACAATCATCACACATCACACAGGTGGTTTTAGCATGTTTTCAACACCCTAAAAAGAAACGCTGTATCTTTGAGCTGTCAAACCCCCCAGCCTCTCCCAGGCCACCACTGAGCCACTTTCTGTCCCTGTGGGTTTGCCTATTCTGGACATTTCATAGATGGACTCATATGTGTCCTTCTGGGACAAGCTTCTTGCATGAAGTTCTCTTGTTCGGCCCCAGCTGAGTGTTCTGCTGTATGGATATGCCACATTTTGTTTATCCATTTATCAGTTGATGAAAATTTGGGTCAAACCCCTTTAAGGAGCAGATTATGTAATTAAAAATAAAAAAGCAAACTCCAAAAAGGTCACAGATGGAATGTGACTCTTCGTATATATCTGTGTAACACACTTCCCTTTTCAGTCTTTGAAGCAGGTGTATTTTTCTAATGGAAATAGGAAATCAAGGACTTCAAAAGTGCTTTTAGAGTTGAGTTATGATTGAAAACATGTTTTATGAAAAACCTTGGAAATGTGTCCCAGCTTTCTTTGTGTACATGTTGTGTGTGTTCGTATGGAGGTACGTATGAATATGCATATGGTTTTAAAAATGGAATCAGTCTCTTCAGAATAATAAAATATTTGCTGGAGAATTAACCTCTGCTGTTCTGGGTTTTGGCAAACATACGATGATTGAGTTCTTGGGACCCTTACACTGAACATGTGGCATTCCCAGCCTTTGGCCCCGAGATGTGGGTGGGTCCTCCGGCCCGTGGCAGTAGGTGTCTGGGAAGTTTATTTTTTAAATTACTGGGATGCCTGGGTGGCTCAGTCAGTTAAGCCGCTGCCTTCAGCTCAGGTCATGATCCCAGGGTCCTGGAATCGAGTCCCGCATCGGGCTCCTTGTCCAGCAGGGAGCCTGCTTCTCTCTCTGCCTCTGCCTGCTTGTGATCTCTCTCTGACAAATAAATAAATAAAATCTTTAAAAATATATAAAATATTTATTTGAGAGAGAGGGAGCACAAGCCAGGAGGAGTGGCAGAGGGAGAAGGAGAAGCAGGCTCCCCGCTGAGCAGGGAGCCCCGACGTGGGGCTCGATTCCAAGATCCCCAGATCATGATCCGAGCTGAAGGCAGACACCTAACTGACTGAGCCACCCAGACACCCCTGGGAAGTTTAAATTGAATTCGCATCTAAAGAGAGGCCTCTTTGCATTAATTGACTTCATGCCTCTGTGTCCAGGCAGAGATCAAATTCAGGAGCGCTCAGTTACTTTAGGTGTTTCCGGGTGGAAAGCTGCTTACAACCGCCGATGGCCGTGATTAACCATTTACTGTGTTTTCTTAACCCTGTTTTCCCATCTGGTATCCACGGTCACTCCGTCACCAGGGCAGCATCTGACAATCGAACAAGTTCTCTCTCTCTCTGAGCCTTTGCTCCCTCCCAGCTCCATCTCCGGAGCTCCTTTCCCCCCAGCAGCCACACTGCCCTTCTCGGGTCCCCCGCGGCCCTGAGCTGCCGGCAGCCTCACATCTGTCTCCTGCTCTCCTGCCTGCAAAGCACGCCCTGCACTATGCTTCACTGGTGGCCTCCAGTGAGCTAGGGAGATAGAAGAGGCAGGTGATTTCACTGGCAAAATGGAAAAAGACCAAAAACACATGGGGGGCCTGTGGAGGCCAGACCTGAACTCAGGTCTGTCCAAGCTGAAACGGAACCCGCATCCCTCTCTTTGAGGGGCAGCTCCCAGTACTGTTAGCTCCGTGAGCGCAGAGGTCTGGCCCTGTTCTTGGTGGGGTCTGTGCCCTGTGTCTTGTGCCCATTCAGTCAGTGCTCAGTGCACGGTTGTCAGCCACTCATTTGTTCCCTTTCTTGAACGGACTCTGAGGTCTTCTAGTTATTTAAGAAGCAGAATATCTGGGGCGCCTGGGTGGCTCAGTGGGTTAAGCCTCTGCCTTCAGCTCAAGTCATGATCTCAGGGTCCTGGGATCGAGCCCCGCATCGGGCTCTCTGCTCCGCAGGGAGCCTGCTTCCTCCTCTCTCTCTGCCTCTCTGCTCACTTGTGATCTCGGTCAAATAAATAAAATCTTAAAAAAAAAAAGGAAGCAGAATATCTTCAAGCATTTTTCTCCCAAATAGGAAGTTTTGTCCTAAATTGAGTGGGTTTTTGTGGTGTCTTGGGCCAAGGGGTTGGGGTGCTGGTATGTGAGTCAGTGTGGTTCCAAGTCGGGTGTGGCTTGGGTCATCTCCTTCTAACCCGTCTCTCCCGGTTGTCTGCTCCCCCAGGGCTGCCTATGTACATGAAGTCCCTGCGCTGGGCGCTGGCAGTCATGGCCATGTTCCTGGCCGTGTCCGCAGTCGCCATCGTGGCTCTGGCATCTAGAGCAGGTGTGGTGCCTCCTCCCGGTCCCTCTCCTCCCCTGTCCACCACCGGGGCGTCTCTTCCTTATGGCAGCTTTGTGAGAATTAGAAAATGACATCCCCACGGGACTTGTTGAGCAAAAAGAGGGACAAAGAGCTCCTACCTCCCGATGGACACAGCCTGTGCTCTAACAAGCAGGGGGTTGGCAGACCCCACCTGGGGGAGGGGTCTGTGCCCTGCACAGACTCCACAGCCTGCCCGGGGCCCTGCCCACCCTGCTTGCTCTCCCAGGGCTCACCCGTTCCACACTCCAGATTTGCCCCCTCACTCAAAACTGCCTAGATTTTGATTATTTATTTATATATATTTTTAAAGATTTTTATTTATTTATGAGAGAGAGAGAGCGAGAGCCAGAGAGAGAGCACAAGCAGGGGAAGCAGCAGAGGGAGAGGGAGAAGGGAGAGGACTCAGCAGGGAGCCTGATGGGGGCCTGATCCCAGGACCATGGGATCAGGACCTGAGCCGAAGGCAGCTGCGTAACCGACTGAGCCACCCATGTGCCCTAGATTTTGACTTTTTTCACGTGCGTACATTCAGTTCTTTATAGTGGTTTCTCTGCTTGCAGGGACCAGATGCCGGCCATGTCCCCGTGGCTGGATGTGGTCCGAGGAGAACTGCTACTACCTCTCTGCCGAAGCTCAGGCTTGGGAGGCCAGCCAGGCCTTCTGCTCAGCTCACCAGGCTACCCTCCCACTGCTGAGCCACACCCAGGTGAGACGGAGGCGGTGGGCAGTGGGAGGATGTGGGTATCATCACAGACCACAGACTCCTGGCAAAGATCTAGTGCATCTCTGCATTACAGAGAAAATCACCAAGGCCTGGGGAGATAACATGACATGTGAGAGGACCAGACTTCAGGGGTCCAAGATCTTCAAATTACTCTTCCTTCTAAGAAGTAGAGGCGGAGCAGGGAAGATGGGGGCAGGGACGGTCCTGTCCATCCTGTGGCCAAGCAGTTAACAGGGAGCATTCCTTCTGCCAGTGCTTCATAAGTAGTTATCAGGCACCTACACTGTGTTTGACACTGGGGACTCAAGGACGAGCGAGAACAAACGGCCTCACCTTTACACGGCCAACAGAGCTGTGAGTGCGGCAGGCGTTAATCAAGAAACCACAGAAATGTGTGTTTAATCACTATAGCGATCTGTCCTGGGGAGGGAAGGTGCACAGTGCTCAAGGTATATGTTGTCTTGGAATCTTGTCTCCGTCCTTGGTATGCTTTTGCCACTTTACTAGGTGGGATCCCTGGTTCCTAGATCTCAAGATTTTTTCTTGGTTTATAGCCTTTTCTTGGTGGGACACATACACTGTAAATTTCCTGGGAAAAAAGTACGTGCCTGGTAAATTTCTTGAGACCGGTCATGTCTGAAGTTGCTTTTATTCTAACCTTATTTGACTGATAGCTTGGCTGGGTATAGAATTCTAGGGTGGAAATCGTTTTCCCCCAGCATTGTGCTGGTTTCGCTTCATTATCTTCCAGTGTTCACTGTTACCATTTAATAAGTCTGATTTCTGATCCTTTCTATGTGACCCTCCCCAACTCCAAATTTCAGGACTTTCATCTTTCTTCTCCCTCTGTCCTGAAATTGAACAATCCTATCCCTTTGTGGGTGTTTTTCTTCATTTTTATTTCTGCTACTTTATTTTTAATTTTGGGATCTTTTTGGTTCTTCAAATATCCTTTTTTATAGTGTCCTATTTGTTTCAAGGATGCAATATCTTCTTTTATCTCATTATAAAGATTTACTTATTTATTTGAGAGAGAGAATGCACATGCACACAGAGGGAGAGGGAGAAGCAGACTCTCTGCTGAGCAGGGAGCCCGACGACATGGAACTCAGTCCCAGGACCCTGGGATCATGACCTGAGCTGAAGGCAGGCACTTAACCCACTGAGCCACCCAGGCGCCACTTTCTTATCTCATTATAGATAGTAGATATAGCTAACTTTGTTTTGGAATTTGTTCTGCTCCCTGTACTATATCTCATTTTTTTTTTTTCCTGCAAGTACTTTTTATTCTATGTACTGAGTTGTGGGGGATTTTTGTCTTTTCATGTTAGAAAATGTCCTGAAATGTCTGATGACCCCTAGCTGTTATAATCCAGAGTGAGGCACTAGAGAACAGGCTGGAAGCTCGGCGGAGTGAGGGGGGCTGCACTGGGCTTTAGCAGGGGCAGGCTTTGCAATGGGGACATCACACTGGGCCTCAACTATTCTTTTTCTTTTTTTTTTTTTTAAGTGAGTGCTAAGATGTCAGCATTCCAGGGGCAGTGGGGAAAGGGAGCCAAGGTTTCACTTGTAAGAGTGTAGCACTTAATCCCTCTCCTTTTTCAGTCTAACTTCCTCCAACCCTCAGCCAGACCTCGTGCTCTGGGTCCCTGGTCCCCTGTGGTTTCTCCCTCAGTTCTCCTGGTTACCTGCTGTATGGGAGGTGTGAGTGGATTTGTGGGAAGAGGTAGAAGAGAGGCCTTCGCTGCTGCTTTTATAGACTTGTAACCAAACTTTTCCAGGCCCCTTTCCTGTATCTTGGCCTCTAGAAGGGCCTGTCGCCTCTAATATTTGAGCATTTGGGGACTTCTCAATTCAGACTGGCATTTTTCTCTGCTTCCTCTCACTCAACCTTTTCCTTGAAAAAATGCAGCACTTTCTTGGGTGCTACCCAAGTGCTATGGGAATTTCTCATTGCTATCATCTCCCATTCTTGTCTCTTATTTTCCCCTTCTGTTATCATTTCAGGAAATTCTTTTCTACTCTTATTTTCTTAAAAGTTTTAAACATGAATGAGTTTCATTTCATTGGATGGTTTTTTGTGTGTCTGTTGAGATGATATCTTTTTGTTTACTTCCTGGATTTCTTTTTGTGTGAATTACATTGATTTTTTTTTTTTTTTTATTCTAGGGCTCTTGTGATAGTTTAGCCAGGATTTTTTCTTCCCCCAGGACTTCGGGATTTGACTTGTTAATATGTTACTTAGGATTTCTCATACATGACATTTGGTTTTCTTGGACTGTCCTGCCAGTCCTGACCTGAAAGCTATTCTGCACCATACAACAGGGAAGGGGGCCCCTGCCTTTTTCTTTCTCTCTGAGAGAGTTACTGGAAGTGGATAGAACACTGAGCTGGGGAAATACAGTGAGTTATTTGATCATCAGGAATAATACTCTGTTTTAAAAAACATGGGGAAATGAAAAGGATATGATGTAGATTGAAAAACTCCAAATCTGGGATCTCAGTATGATAAAAAGATATACGCAAAGAAAAAACACAGGAAGGAAATATGTATACTCGTTATTCTAATTGTGGTTACCCCTGGGGGCAAGATTTATGACTGGTCTTTTCTTCTTCTTCCTTAAAGTTTTAATTATTATTTTTTTAATTTTCTAAATGTTCTGCAAATAATATGTGCTGTGTATAATTTGGAGGAAATGCCAGAGGGACAGTAGCCTATGAAGAAGATCAGTTTATAAAGATTTTGCCAGAGGCCTGGGGCAGGCCTGGAGTTCTTACACTTGTCAAATAAGAACCGGCTGCGTTGAGGAACCTTCCCAGGCCCCTCGCTGTTGGCGTCCGCAAAATGAAAGCCAGTGGGAAGGGGAGCAGAGGTGGGTCCCTGGACAGTGGTGGCGCTGGGGGTGGGGGTCAAGCCTGGCAGGGACCCACCGAGCCCAGCAAGCATCCTCAGAAAGCCTGCCTCTGCCCTCCAGCTCCTGAGGACATGGGTTCAATTCAGAATGACCTCAGCCCTCTGGTCCGTGGCGGGTGCACCCTCCAGGGGGCAGATGGGCTTACACCAACCAAACTGCAAGCTTGAGATAAAGTATTCTTTCAGAACTAATCATTCAGCATCAATTATTTGGGACATACGTGTCTGAGTAAGTTCCTTACAAAAAGAAGATTGGGTCCCAGGCAGTTAAATTCTGGAATACGGTGACTGTGGAATTCTGGAATCCTTCCGAGCTCTGGACGAGGGCCAGACACTCCAGGAGGCACTGGGGCAGGGTGAGGCAGGCAGGGGCAGTGGGCAAAGGCCAGGCTCCAGGAGCTGGGACACACACGCAGGGACATTGTGGTGGTACCAGTGGTTCGCCCAGCCCTTGGAGAAGCAGGTCTCATACTCCCGCAGAGCTGGGTTTGCTCCAGATTAGCGAAAAGGGAGAAAGTTGAGGTGCCATCGGTGCCCTTGGTCTCACACAGCTCTGTCTCCTGGGGTGCAGGGAGCTCGAGGTTCACACATGACTGTCAGCCTCACGCACCAACTGCAGGAAGGTGAAAAAAAGACAGGAAGAAATACCCATCCTAGGATTAAGCCAATTAACTAATTGATCATTTGCTTATGAAAGCAGAAATGTACACAGGCGGAAAGCAGAGTGGGGCTGGCAGGGTTGGGGGTAGGTGTTGGAGGTGCAGGGAGTTTCCCTCGAGGAAGGTAGTTCCGGGGGCAGATGGCCCTGATGGTCACAGGACAGCCGCGTGGACAACCGCGATGCCACCAACCTGGACACTTAAAAATGGTGAAAATGCTTAATTCCATGATATGTATTTTACCACAACTTTAGAAAAAAAGAAATGTTTGAGGGCAGAGCAGATAATTTACCTCCACTTTAAGATGCCAGATACAGGATTTCAAGTACATTCTGCTCAGGATCCCATTCCCATGGGCCCCGACATTGGTGGCCCAGTTGGAGAAGCGCCCTCGGGAGGCCGTGGAGGCCCCGGGATGCCGGTGGCATCATTACGGGAGCAGTGGTTTGAACTCAAGTGATTCTTGAGTTTCTGGAATTTACATCTCTGGATGATACTTTTCCCATACCGTCGTTTTTGCTAGCTGTGAGAACAAGTGCACGGCGTCAGCACTATGAGGAAGGAAGGGTGGAAAGGAGTGAGTGTTCAGGGACGGGCTGTGCCTCCTGTTCCAAGAGGCCCAGAGGTGGAAGTGAGGGCAAGCCAGGTGGCCTGGGGCCAGAACTGAGGGCAGGGGCTTCTTGGCAACACTGGGGACCTCAGATGAGGTTCCCTGTGTTGGGGGCTGCATTTGCACACCCTCCGGCCCAGACCGCAGAGTTCTCCTGTAGTGAGTGTGTACACTATGCCCTTGGCTTTATACAGATCCTCTCGGGCCTCCTTCCCAATGTGCCCCGACTTCGGAGGCCCGTATGGAAGCTCAGAAAGGTGTCCTTGCCTAAGGTCCCACAGGACCAGAATTTGAATAGGGGGTGTCCCGGTGCTGGGAGAAGCCCTGTGCCCCGGTGTTCCTTCCCCGTTCCCAGGAGGAGGGTGCCGGCCAGCAGGGGCCCCCCTCTGCTGCAGCCACTGCCCAGAGCTGCTCTGCCCACTGACTCAGCTCCCAGCCATCTCCGGGTTCCCCATCCTCCCCTGTACAGCCCCCTGCCTGGCCCTGCTGGCAGGCCTCGGCCTGCAGTCCAGCCCGACGTGTGGCCATGGGTGTGCCTTCCCCCGTCCTCGCCAGGTTCACGGTCCCACATGGGAAAGCGACAGGCCGTGCACCAAACTCCAGAGTCCGGTTAGGGCAGCTCACTTTACACGGGGTCTGCGCACAGTCCCTTCAGGGGACAGTCATTACTTCCGTGCTTACTTTCTAAGAACCAGGGTTAAATAGCAAGGTTTGGGATTTCTCAACTTAAACAAGTTATCTCAGGAAGAGCTGGTCAAACCCTAAACTCACACAGGACAGTCTCCTAATTTTCGCTCATGGATAGAGGCTTCTGGATGTCGTGAGCAAAGTGTTCTTCCCGGTGCGGTCTGCTTTTCTTCACTCAGCATGATTCATAGTTACATTTGCTACGTACTTGGCATCCTGAGCAGCACTGTAACTTTCCGTCGTGTTGATATCCCATAACGGGCCCAGTTATTTCCTGATTGCCGAGCATTTGGGTGGTTTCCATTTTTCCTTTCTAAATAGCACTGTGTTATCTTTGGGTAAGTTCATTTTCTCCCCTTTATGCTCTTGGATTTATTCTCCAAAGTGGAATCACTCGTGGGAGTGGTAGGAAGGACGTGACCTTGCGTGCAAAGTGGCGGCAAAGTAAGTTCTGAAACCACGCCAGCTTCGCGGCCTCATGCCGGGACTTACAACATTAAAACATCTTTTTCCAAGTTAAACATTTTTAAATGCCATTTTTTCCTTTAATGTGTGACATCAAGAACAAATATTGAAGAGGAAGATCCTCTCTAGCAGCTCTCTGACATCCTTGGGGTTTTCGTTGTTCCCCTCGTGGTCTACGTTCTTGTATGAACACATTTTGTCGTGACTGTAATCGTGCCACCCTCAGAGTCAGCATTTTTACCCAGCATAACCCTTGATGTCCCATAACTTGCTTCTTATGGCTCCATGGTCTTTGTTCTCATCTTTTTAAAAAATATTCTTAATAACGTGCTGAGCTGATACGATGTCACTGACCAATGTCCTGCCAGCCCTCTGCTCTGTCCCCTCCATACCCAGCTCGCACTGCTTGGTGGGGACTGGCCTTCACATGCTCTCTCCCCTTGAGGCTGAGAGGGGATCCCCCCATTTCCCGTCCCCAGTGTCTGGCAACCGGCAAGCACCCAATACAGCTTTCCAGTTCCTGATGTTTGGGGACAGCTGGGTGAGCTGGGAACTTGCCCAAGGTCCGGCGGGGAGGAGGGGGCACAGAAGCCCCAGGTGAGTCTTAACTAGTGTCCAAAGAAGGGTGACCCGCTGCTTTTCTCCTTCAGGACTTCCTGAGCAGATACCCAGTCCCCAAGTACTCCTGGGTGGGGGCCCGGCGAGGCCCCCAGGGCTGGCACTGGATCGACGGGGCCCCACTGTCGCCCCAGCTGTGAGTGACCGTGGGCCTGGGTGGGTGGCCCCTCCGTCTCCAGCACGACCAGAATGACCTCACAGCACATGCCACAGAGGGGCTGGGGCCTTCCTCTCTGCTGACACCCCCCCCCCCCACCTGGAGCCTCCAGGTGTTCCCAGATTCGGCCCCTGTTCCGCCCCCACCCTCCTTGCCCTGTCTGGCTTGGAGCCTTAGTTTCACTTGTCCCAGTCACCCCATCCCTTGCGCGGGCCCCCAGAGTACTCACCCACGCAGGATCGTTGCCCTGTTCTGTAGACGAGGGGGCTGCACAGAGGGATCTGGGTGGTTCTCGTGAGCTATGGCGCATCCTCACGGCTCCCATCTGAGGGCCCTTCCCGGACCCCCCGACCCTGTGCGGTGATGAAGCCTTAACCACGCCAGCGTCGGCAGCAGGCACACAGGCCGGCAGGGGCTGTCGCCCTGAGCTCTGTCCCCTCTTCTCCCCTTCCCCAGACTCCCGGAGGAAGAGGAGGACCAGCCAGATCTCAAGTGCGGGGGCCTGGAGGGAGGCAAGCTGGTGGCTTTGGACTGTGCCTCTCCAAGACCGTGGGTCTGCGCCAAGGGGACCAAGTGACTTGGCTTCCACCCCTCCTGAGACTTGGGGGCCTGCAGCCACCCCAGGGGAAGCCAGGTTGCCAGCTGGGGAAGCCTCTTCCCTGGACCCAGACTTCCAGGTCTCCCTGCTCTGTGCTCAACAGGGGCCCTTTCTGAGCCATAAGGGACTGGACTTCTGGCTCAGGCGGGTCACATCCAAGGGAAAGGAGGCTTTCTGTGGCCGGGCTGAGTGTCCAGCTTCTGAAGCAGATTTGTTTGATTACCTTGGGATGGTGTGTGGTTTTTTGTTTTTGTTTTTGTTTCTTCGCTTTTTTGAGCCTAGGTTTCTCCCTCATTAAAATGCCCATTTCCCATCCTCTCCCTCACCTGCTGAATTCCACCTGCACACCCCCCGCCCCCAAGTCTTGGAGGACCAGGAGGCCTTAGCGATCCCAGGTGCTGCTGGGCGGTTCTCCCCTGAGCGCAGGGACCGAGGCTGGGATGCGGCGGCTGTGTGCACGGCCGACACCGCTGACCAACAGTGTTGGAGGACGGCGGGTGAGAAGTGGTTGTCCCCGGAGGAGGGAAGAGTAGGGTGTCCTTCCCCGCCCCAAGCTGGCAGAGGGTAAGGTTCACGGTGTGCGGCACTCGCGGGGCTTCTGAGCAGCTGATGCCCAAGGCTGGGAAGATGCGGAGCACAGCCCACCCCCACCCCCGGCCCCGGGCAGGAAAACACAGGAGCTGCAAAGCACAGGGTCCGGAGGAAGGAGATCAGAATTGTGGGGAGGTCGAGGCAGCTCTTCCCCTGACAGGTGTGGGGACACCAGCCTGAAGATATCTGTGTTGGGGTTCAGTAAAGGGCCTTCAGGCCAGAAGGAGTGGCCGGGGGGCCCGGACGACTGGTTTAGTCTGTGCAGGCTGTCCAGGCCTCTCTCCCAGTGACCGGGGACGGTACCTGCATGTTCCCCTGGTGCCAAACACTTGACTGTCCTGGGCCCACTGACCCCCCTCGTCAGGGGCAGGCCATGCGTTCAGCTTCCTCTTGAACAGAAACCTTTACTGGTCCGTTCACACCAGTCTCTGGTACAGAACACACGGGCTGGCTGGCAGAGAGGGGTGGGGTCCTAAGAGTGCACTGGCAAGCAATAAAAATCTTAAAAACGCTCTGGTGTTTCTCCTGGCTTTTTCACTCCCGCTATCAGTTAACCCCGGAGCTTGGTAACATGTTCCACTCACACCTCACAGTCCTGCTCAGCCTGGCTCGTTCGGCGCGTCTGACACTGGCAGCCGTCTGGCTGCGCCCAGCTCAAGGCCAGGAACCACAGGTGGGGGACACCTGGGGCACGGATGGCCCGGGTGTGGTGGGTGGTGCCAAAGCTTGGAAGTCCTAAAGTTTTTAAGCTTCACCTGCTGAGGAATTGTAACAAGAGCCATCTTTTGACTTAGGTCCTAAGAAGCTACTAGTTCCTGTCTGAAGTAGGCAGGCCAAGAAACAGCAGTGTAACCATATTATTTAGAAATATGGAGAGGCGCCTGGGAAGCTCAGTAGGTAAGTGACTGACTCTTGGTTTTGGCTCAAGTCATGATCTCAGGGTCAGGAGATCAAGTCCCCGCACTCATTGTGGAGGTTCTCTCCCTCTTCCTCTGCCCCTCCCCACCCAATAAATAAAAATCTTTTTTTTTTTTTAAGATTTTATTTATTTATTTGTCAGAGAGAGAGAGAGAACAAGCAGGCAGAGTGGCAGGCAGAGGCAGAGGGAGAAGCAGGCTCCCCGCCAAGCAAGGAGCCGGATATGGGGCTCCATCCCAGGACCCTGGGATCATGACCTGAGCCGAAGGCAGAGGCTTTAACCCACTGAGCCACCCAGGCGCCCCAAGCTGTACACTTAAGGTTAAGAAACTCCAGTGTTTACAAGGAGCAGGAATAAGATTACAGAGGGACCAATCTTTGTTGTTTAAATATGTGTACTTTAGTATTACTAAAGCTGTATTCATCGGTTGGTTTTCTTGTTTGTTTCAAGAGCCTGTATTTATGTACTACTATGTTAAAAGAGGAATTAGACTTTTTTTTTAATTTTTTTTTTTTAAGATTTTACTTATTTATTTGACAGACAGAGATCACAAGTAGGCAGAGAGGCAGGCACAGAGAGAGGAGGAAGCAGGCTCCCCGCCGAGCAGAGAGCCCGATGTGGGGCTCGATCCCAGGACCCTGGGACCATGACCTGATCCGAAGGCAGAAGCTTTAACCCACTGAGCCACCCAGGTGCCCCAGGAATTAGACTTTTTTAAAAAGTCCACAAGATCCTGACGCACAGCCCGGCTTGAGAATTGCTGGTTCCAGAAGTGAGTGCTGGGGCCGCCCCTTCTTGCAGCCTGTCATTACCTCATTTGCTGAGGGGCCTTCTCACAGGTTCCAGCCAGGCGTTCAGAGCGCATCTTTCCCGTTGTACAAAACTGAAGCTGGGAGATGACACAGCAGGCTGGACGGCATGGAATTCCTCCTGAGGAGTTTCTCTAGTCTCTCTTCCCACCAGGTGCCACCAGCTGCTAGTGTGTGAAATCCACACGTCATCGTGGCACTGCCGGCACTGGCTGGGGTCACGGAGCTGTGGGGACCAGCTGCTGGCATGGGTGGGCCCAGCAGCCTCCGAGGTCCATTCAGATGGCCATCCAGTGGTGGAAGAGCCACCAGGGTCAGGTGTATTTGACTCCTCCTCCACCCCATCAAGAGATTCTGCGTCAGTGGATCAGATTTTTACCAGCTTTCCTGGTGATGCTCACGCACATAGTCCAGATGCCACATTTTGAGAAACCCTGTCTAAAAGAGCCCATGGCGGGGCAGGGAGGTGGGGGGTGGGAGAGAGATATGTGAACCTATTTTAAAACAACTTATTGGGGTGCCTGGGTGGCTCAGTGGGTTAAGCCTCTGCCTTTGACTCAGGTCATGATCTCAAGGTTCTGGGATCAAGCCCCACATTGGGCTCTCTGCTCAGCAGGAAGCCTGCTTCCCCCTCTCTCTGAATGCCTTTGCCTCCTTGTGATCTCTGTCAAATCTTAAAAAAAAAAATCAACTTATTGAGGGGCACCTGGGTGGCTCAGCGGGTTAAGCTGCTGCCTTTGGCTCGGGTCATGATCCCAGAGTCTTGGGATCGAGCCCCATGTCGGGCTCTCTGCTCAGCAGGGAGCCTGCTTCCTCCTCTCTCTGCCTGCCTCTCTGCCTACTTGTAATCTCTGTCTGTCAAATTAAACAAAAAAAAAGCTCTGTCCTTCAGGCAGGGTTTTTGAAAATATGGTTTCTCATCATCAATAGGAGAATCACAAAAGAAAACAGAAATGGCCAACGAGCAAATGAAAAGAAGCTCAATGTCCGGCATCCAGCAAAGGCCAATATAATTACAGACTTGTGGCATCACTGCCATGCGCTGAAACTAATGGGACGTGTGTGTCGATGGCACTGGATGAAAACAAACGCAATCAGAAACCACGAGGAGTCAGCACTACACACCCACGCGAATGGTGACACCGAAGGAGACTGGCCACCTCAGGGCTGATGAAGGTGTAGAACATGGGAGCTCAGCTCACACTGGTGCGGGGATTATAAAATGGTACAGCTACTTTGGAAAACAATTCAGCAGTTTCTTACAAACATACAACCCAGTAATCCTCTTAGGTCCCTAGAGAAAGGAAAACCTACCTCCAAAGACCTGTATGTGAACGTTCACAGCAGCTGTATTCCTAACAGCCCAAACCTGGAGATGACCGTGATATCACCAACCCGAGCAGAGAGAAACTGGGCTCTACACCTGCAGAGCAAGCAGCTACGGACCTCTGCGGCAACGCAAGCGAGTCTCTGAAACCAAAAGTACATACTACACGCCTCTTTTTTTTCTACGAAATCCTAGAACAAGTTCAACTTACCTGTAGAGACCGACCACAGATTCACCTGGGACTGGAGGTCAGGGAGGATTGGCTGCAGAGGGACACAAGGGAACTTTCTGAGGCCTGTGGGACCTATTCCATATCTTGTTTGGCGGTGGTGACACAGGCAGCTACATTTGTTGGAAGGTACCTCCAAGATCGGTAGATTTTCTTTTGGGCAACTCTATCTCAATAATTTGATTTATTTCTAATTTTTTAAAAAGATTTTTATTTATTTATTTGAGAAACAGAGATCACAAGTAGGCAGAGAGGCATGCAGAGAGAGAGAGAGAGAGGAGGAAGCAGGCTCACTGCTGAGCAGAGAGCCCGATGCGGGGCTCGATCCCAGGACCCCGAGATCATGACCTGAGCCAAAGGCAGAGGCTTTAACCCACTTAATACACATAACCATTATTATACTTAATGAAACTACTGTTAAATTCACATTCAGTCCTGCTTGTTCCACTAATGTATTTTAAACAAAGATCCAGTCAGGGTCTCAGCACTGTTACTGATCCCTTTAATCTCTTTAAACCTAGAACTTGTTTTCTGAAACACTGACTTTTTGAATAGACAAGGCCAGTTTGTCTTGTAGAATGACAAATATTCTGGATTTCTCTCATTTTCTGTAAGCTGCAGGAGTTAGGCTTAGATTCACTATAAGCATTTTCTACTTGTGACACTGGGTACTTCTTAATTTATCACTCGATAGATTTTTAACACTGATTTCAAGCAATTTGTACCAAAATTTTCTCAAAAAATTCAGGGGGCCAAATTCGTGTATCCCAATTAGGATACATACAGGCTTGTCATTGGTTAGTCTCGGCTTCGGAGGCAGTATCAAAGTAAAATAAGACTATGACACTATGAAAAGGGTTTCAGAAATGACACAGTCCTATACCTAGGGCTGTGTATTACTCTACCTTCGTTTGCTTCGGCCTTTTTTGCTCCCTCTTGGGATGTTGGTTCGTCCCCTCTTCCCTCTCCCAGCCCAGGTCATACCTGTCATGTTAGGCCAAGAGGAGCCTCGGGCTCACCAACAGAAACGTGTCAACTTTGTTGCGGCTTTTTTTTTTTTTTTTAATATACTCCACACCTGCATGGAGCCTGACATAGGGCTTGAAACTCACAAGAGATCAAGATCCAAGCTGAGAGCAAGAGTCTCCTGCCTAACCTACTGAGCCACCCAGGTGCCTCCCATCGTGACTTCAACTAGTCACTTGGCATGGCTGAGC